CAATGACAGATGGCACCAAAGTTAGAGAATTCTATCCTATGATTTCAGCAAATGTTTCACTACATCTATTCATTTTTTGCTTCCAAAAGGGCTGAGGTCTTTACAGAAGAATTCCTGATATCTTTCTTTGAGAACTCATAGGGTATCAACAATCTTTGATCTCAGCTTGTCATTTCATAACTCCCATGCACACCCTGATACATGTGGAGGCTTGATTGGGCTGTGAGGAGCTGGTCCTGATAAATTGCTGTTTGAAGATCCACTGATCAAATTCGGTGCATGTCACATTCTGCGTTTATTTTCCTTCAGGGTCCTAAAAAGAGGCAAATGTTGAGTGCTTTTATATGAAAATATCCTTGTGCAGTATGAGGGGATGTAGGACACCCTTCATGGGAAAGTGTGAGTTCATGAGGACCTATCTCTTCCAAATTCTTTTCACTTCAGACCCTTGGTCATTGATGTTGCATTTTTAGAGCATAGGAGTAATTAATAACACCTAAGAAAGCACTTTGCATGCTCATTTCAAATACCAATTTATTAATTAGAGATATGGTAAAACCCAAGTTTTCTCTTCTCCCACACATGAGAACTAGATATTTTGTAACTCTATGTTCCAGCCCCATCTCTTTCTTGCTCTATGGTCCTAGTTCTCTCTTTAGTGCTCTCTCTTTCATAAAACCTTCTTCTAGATATTAGTCTACTTTGAATGTGAATATACAGTGAGGAATTAGTCACCGGTCTGAGAGCTGAGGGAAAGAACAAGGGCTCAGGTGTTCTCTCTGCAAAGACCCACATCATTGTCCCTGTCCTAGGTCAACTAAATGAAGACCACACACCTGTATTCCTCCAGGTTCAGTTTCTCATGCTGCTCAGATGACACTCACTGCCTTCTTCTTGATGTACATTCCTTTTTGCATGGCACCAAGAATGGATGAGGAAAATGAACAAGAAAACCATCATGTAGAAAGACAGTCTAATCAGAATATACAGGAGCCCATGATTATCTGATGGAACATATGAATGCAGTAAGTAAGATGACAATCAAAAGATCCGTGTAACAGATTGCCTAACATTTATTGATAGATGGATAACTAACATATTATTATTCTTTAGGACAATATTCTTGATGAAGAAACTACTATTCTCATTCTGCTAAATGCACACAGTATTAAACTGGCTCCTATGACTTCTCTTTGGGTCCCTACTTTAATGCATTTCTCAAATCTCAGCAGGAAAGTTTATATTTGTAATATATGTTGATCAATACAGGTTCCCACAATAGCCAAAGTGCAGTGCAACATGAATCTTAAATAATCTTATTAATAAAAAACAATCCTGGAGTCAGGTATTGTGGTGAACGCTGGAAGATCAGAGAAGCAGAACAAGCCACAGCTTCCTCACCTTGCCAATTCCACAGCTGATCTTGTTTCTTCAGACTGGAATTTTCTGAGTCCTTTTCCAAATGAATCTCAGCTGAACTGCTGCTCAAAGCCTCCAAGCTTAACCAGCTCTATTTCCTGGTCCTCACGCCTTATATGCCTTTCTGCTTTCTGCCATCACTTCCTGGGATTAAAAGCTGTTACCACTCCTGTCTGTTTCCAGTGTGGCCTTGAACTCACAGAGATCCAGTCAGATCCCTGCCTCCAGAATGCCAGGATTAAAGGTATGTGTGCCACCATTTTCTGGCCTTTGTATCTAGTGGCTGTTCCTTTCTCTGACCCCAGATGAGTTTATTAGGGTGCACACTATTTGAGGAACAAAATGTCACCACAGTGCAGAGCATAAAGGACTGTGGAATGCTTGGCTCACATATGACATTTACAAGACATCTAAGTCTATAAAGTCTCTGTCTTAATTGTGAAAATGATGGACCAAAAATGACTGAATGAGGTTTATGATAATGAAAAAGAAATAGTATCTACTGGACACAAGAAAGAAGTTGCACATATGAATTCAAAGCAGATGTGACAGCATGCACAACAACAGTACATGTGCAAGGTAGACCAAATCCTAGCATGCACTGAGGCTGTGGACATGAAGTCCCACCCTTAGACAAGGGGCTATAAGCAAATGATAGCTGTTGGGAGAGTCAGTTTCAAGAGAGTTGGGAAAAGTAAGTGGACCATGCTCCAGTGAGAGGTCACACATTCATGAATATATGGACATCACAAATTGAACTTCATGGACAAAAGAGATAACAGCTGGGTTGTATAGGTCCAGGAGGATTTGAGTAGGGGGTGTATATGATTAAAGCCTATTGGTTGAAATTCAAAAAACTAATGCAAATCAATTATTAAGAAATATTGATCTAGATGGCATATGTGCTATGACTATGTGTTCTGCATTATCTCACATGAAATTCTAAGAATAAATATAACATGTGATCTATATAGTATGAATGGAGGTAAGGAGGAACATTCCAGAATATCCTGTGTTCTGTTTCTGCCTACACTACAAATGCCATATAGTTTAGCTGTATGTTCCTTTGGCTTCAGTGTATAAAATCCAAAATGCGCTGTCTTTTGTCTTCCATGAAGCACTGTGCAGAAGGAAAGTATTGATGCAATGCATTGTCATTCACAAAATTCCTTGATTGATAGACTCCAATAACTTGAAACCTCAATTTTTATCTCTTAAAGCTTACTTCTAAGTAATTCTATTTCATGTGACTTGTGCATAATTTTCCATCTCATCACCTCTATGCCACTGACAGAAAAATGGCAGGACACAATGTAAAGGTCACGTGTTCATTGTCTTAACTGCGATTCATATCAGTGTACATTGAATCTCCTGTGGAATTAATCTATCTACAACATCACTGAACCAACATTAATTTCTCTCAAAGGAAAAAAGTGAAGTCAAGGCTATTCTGTCCAGAAGTAGTATTTTTATATAAAATCCTCCCTTCTGCTCACTCGTTTCCTTCTTCAGTCCCCATCACCTCCTCTCTGGGAGGAAGTAATATTCTGCTTGTTTCCAACCTTTTTCAGAGCAGATCATCCCTCTTCTGAACTATAGAGAGGAATTATCACTTGACTTTTATTTACAAGAGAGACAAATTTCCCCTTCTCTTCACTTACAGAGGACTCAGGTGAAGACATAAGGGATTGAGAGTCCCCTTGGATCCCATGGTGCCAGTGAATAATTTCTGATATATA